GTCGCATCGCCCTAATGCTTCCCCTGTCCTCGCTACGCAGAGTTAGTCCAACTCCCCTTTAAACCAGTGCTTCAGCTTGCACGTTCCAGGTACACGTTCGGGGCGCACGACTTCGGCAGCCATGAAGACGTTCAATGGCGTGCTGTGTTGCCCCGCCGCGTGTGTCCCGGCGAAACGACTCGACTTGCCCTGCGTGGCGTACCGACGCAGACAGTGGTTCCTGCTCGGAAAATGCTTCTCTGCGAATGGGCTGGCTTTCCCGGAAGCCGGACGCCAACGTTCCGGGATGGCATCAGCTCCCCACAGAGGGTTTTGAGCGTCCGTCGACACGCATTACCACACTAGCCCGCAAAGGGTGGCAGTGTGGAGCGTCCGCAGTTCTTTTCTAACTTGCCACTGGCCTGCACCCCAGCGGAAGCGCCCTCTGGCTACGCCCGTGTCTACTAGGACGGACCCCTTGCCACGGCGAGTGCCCAGCTCCCCAGAGGCCGGCATCGTCAGATTCGCCACATACTGCTCTCCCACGTTCTTTCTCTGCATGTGGAGTTTATATGTTGCAAACATGTTCAAATCAGAAACAGGTGCCCAGGTGGAAAAGCGCCCCGCCGTCGGTTTGACCACGTCGTCCCATGTCATACATGTGCTCCGCGTTTCTGATTGCCTCTGCGTTCTCGTTTCCCCGCCGCTCTCTGACCCAATTCCCTGCCGTACCGCGTCTATGCGTGCATTGAAATTCTCACCATTGTGCATACTGCCCCACGAATGGACTGTCTACAAGGTCTGCCAACGTCAAGCACTCACTTCCACGGCGTCCGGGCAAGCCGATACTCTCAGTCTCCCGGTAATGGTTCTCCAAGGATACGAGACACGGTGAAGTCCAGGTTCTCCAATCGAAAGGCAGATCAAACGGCGAATCCAGACTTCCTTACCGACCAAATTTTTACAAGAGAGATACATCATGAAGGTTCGGAACTCAGGCCCTCCCCGGTGACTTTCCCGTGAGGTGTACTCAACGCAGATTACCGACGCGGCTGAAGCCCGGGACGCACGTTGCGGATGTCCCAGCCCGGAAAAACAAGAGGGAGGTGAGCCATATCGGCATTTGTTCTCACCACAGTTCGTGATTTTGGAACTGTGCACCGCGTATTCCCGGACCTTTGCCAGCAATAAATCCAAGATGGTACGGTTAAGCTCTCTCGATAGCCGTACCGAAGTCTGTGGACTGATTACGGCGGTTGTGCGGGTCCCTGTCGATTTCGAGGAGCTTGCCGATCTGCGGCCGAAAACGCTTCGCACTCGAAAGACCATACCCGGTCGCAGTGTAAACTGGCGTGGGGCCAACCGAATCGCAACAAACAGCTGCGTTACCAGGTCACTCGGCCGCGGTCGGCTGCTTGTTTGATCCGGAACACTGCACATCGCATATGCTCCGCCGCCTTGGTGAAAAATCCACAAGCGACTACGCATACATTGTTCCCGGCTCCCCGGTGGCAGGGCAGTGGCCCGACAAAGTCGATGGCCATCGCTCTCCTCATGGAGCGCCCGATGGCCTTGCTGTTTTTAAAACCGCCTGCTTGCCTGCGCGGCGCTAACCTTTCGCGTCTAGCCGCAACGTTCGCACTTCAATAACTATTTGGTACTGACGCGGACCGCTTTCTGTGCATCTACATCCGTCTTATTATGGTACTGTCCGGCAGAAAACCTATCGTTCACATGCGCCGGCGAGCTCATCTGGCCCCGCCGACTATCATGTAAAGGTGGTATGCAACGGACTGCAGAGTCTGGCTGAGAGATCGTCTGGGCCACGAATTAGTTACGCCCCTTTCGCGAAGTTGTCCGTCATTCTCGACCGCCGGTGTAGAATTCCTGGAACCGCCGTGGCAGGAGCTCCAAGAGTTTTCTCCCTGCCACTCCTCGTTAAGCTCGCGGCGGAGCCTATATGAGGGAGGAGTCGTGGTGTCTCCGGGAGCGTACCCTCGGGGTCCACGTCCCGCCTGATAGCTATCTTGCAGCAAGAAGTCTTCCCCCGCGGCAGTACTCTATCGAGACGGTCCCGGATACAACCAGCAAACTTATACCAAAAGTAACCTTTTATTTCCATTCGCCAAGACTCCGCATCCCCGCCAGCAACAGGAAGTACGGGGGCTGTCACGTCGGCTCCATGCTTGCAGCTGGCGGCACCCCGTGAAATGGTTGGATCTTCCGTCCTTGCCATTGCGGCTTGCACTTGCTTTCGTCGTCCAGCGACAGAGCTCTGCTTTCAGGCGGCTCGGGCTCGTGGCGCACCCTGTGGTCGAAGAGGGCCGAGGCCTCTCCGTCCCTTCCGGCTTTCGCGTACCCCGCGGATAGCCGGCCACTTTGTCCCAGTTTGAGAAACATTGCGGGCATCTGTACTTTACAAGGCCGCACGCGCGCAGCGGACAGTGCGTCGGCGTTAGCGTGGCGTCTCCCGCGGGCCGGTGCTCAAGTTCCTCCAGATCGACACGTTCCGAAAGAAAAGCAATCACAACGCGCCACCATGTACACTTCGGTTCCTTGAACTCTCAGGAGCCACGTAAGGGGAGGGCGTGATCGGTGCGGCAGCCGTGATCGGGCCTGCGCGGTCAGTAAGTATCTGCAAATGCTGTCATCGAAGGTTGACCTACGGCAAATTTCCCCGTTTGGTCGGTGCAATACCTGCGCTGGTGTGGGAGCTGAATGACGATTGCGTTCCATCAGGCGATCACTCTCGCCCGTCTTGCCTGGAAGTTGGGAGAGAAACTGCACCCATCGCGGAAGGCTCAGGCATCCGTGTCCAGACAAGCCAACGCACCTTTCATTTGTGGGTATGCCAACATCGGAGGATGTGAGCTGTTCCTCAATGTCTGGAAAGAAGCCCTGAATCCAGGCGCGACCCGTCCACATCGCTCTGCACACCAGTGACTAAATCGACAGCGGCCTGTTAATGCTATTGTGAACGTAAATATGTCGTTCCCCCTACCTTAGGAGTAGTACTTCGCCTTTGTGACATATAATACAGGGATACATGCCAGTTCGGACGGTGGTTTTGTCTACATATCAATGTCGACACCGGAGACAGTCATGAATGGCCTGGATACGTTCTGGTAATCGTTAGGCACCGGGCTAACTTGGCAGCCGCCTCTATCAAAACAAAGCCACGTTTCTTGCACATGTACGAAATAC